ATAAAAAGAAGAACGGAGAAAGATAAAATGAAGAACAAGGATCAAGGCATCAGAAGATGTCGATTGACATTACATTTAAATTTTTGAAGATTATATTTATCAGGGAAGCACGTAACAGAAAGAGAGTTCCACTTTTAGGAAGTGCGAAAGAAGAAGCTTTTGAAGTAGAAGAGGCGGTTACATTTAACTGTTTCAACAGTAAATGGTCGGGACCGAAATGCCAACCTAGTAGCACGCTTAAATTCATGCATTCTGGTCACCAATGAAAATAACTCGTCAGAGCAGATGCCATTAAAATATTTATAGAAAAGACAGAGATAAATCACATTACGTCGGTGAGAAAGTAACTGGTGTCGAGACCCCATTTTATCTTGTGAATCTCTCTTCCTGCTTTTTCTGCTTTAAATTTAATCTTCTGAAATATTTAAATGCAATGCCATTTATTATCGACTGACCTCTTCTTTTATTGTTCTTGACCATTAATAATATTTCTAATATTCATATATTCTCTCAAACTCTTTATTGACTTGCTTGGGATGAAATAACTAAAAGAAAACATTTAAAAAAAAGCTTACCGACGCGTGGTCATGTAAATGCGGTGTGCCTTCAACAAAACTTCTTCTTCCAATAAATCTGTTTGCCAAAGTCTCATCAAAGTAGCCCTTTATATCACAATGGAAATACACGAGTGGCCCTATCTTACACGAAATACAACTCCCCCATATTCAAACTCCTCTTCAATCTATACCAGGTGAAACAATCACAGTAATTTCAAATAAACGGGACCAGTCACCGTTATACGGTCAAAAATAAAGATCAAATTACTCCTTTTGAGGATAAGTCTCACTACATTGTAATTCCTGATAAAATTAAAACGATCTACAACAATGATCTACGAATTTTCAGGTTTCCAATTGGTCCAATTGGGCTTGTTAATTGAGCCAGTTAATTTAAACACGAGATTTGATGAAAAGTATCTATAATAACGGAGCTAAAATACGCAGAATTAAGCCGCTTGACACAGATTGACCTTGAACTCTGTCCCGCATACACATTAAGTTATAACTCTATCACCCATTCCGTTCTTCAGAGCAGTGCTTGCAAGGAAGTGTTTGGAAGGAAAGTGTGTAGCGTGTGGCCGTTTCACCAAACCACACCCCTGAGGTCCCATCAGTGACCTTGCTTTGTGCAGCTATTTTTTGGCCAAGTACTGTGTCTTTTTCTACTTTCCTAAAATCAAATCCCACTTGAACCACATTTCCATTCCTCGAGAAAATGAAAGAGAATACGTTCAGGCAGTTGCTCGCCATCCCCAAAAAGGAGTTCCAGGAAGGGTTCCATCGATTGAAAACACGATGGAGAAAGTGTATGGATTCAGAAGGGGACTACTTCGAAGGAGATTGAATGTCGAATTGATATATATTGTAGTTTTCTTTTTATAGGACCAGTCATGAGACTTTCGGATCTAACCTCGTATAACGTCACCACTCCAAACATTATTTACTGGAAAGTGTGCATCTACTACACATCATGACACGTGTTACTCACAAAACGCCACTCTTCGGTCCGGCTATCTTCAGTGAGAATATGGTTTATTCCTACTTACATTATTTACATTATTCAGACTATTATCCACATCTCATTGCCATATTCAAAACATTTCGGCCGTTGTACTCTCCGGCCTTCTTCAGGAGCTAGAAATCTAGAACCGAAACTTTATTTCGTCCACTGAGGTAGATTCTTCTAGTTCTACGTGCTATGTCTCTTCCGGATGTCTCAGTTATTTCTCTTTAACTCAACTGTGCTGGAGACTGGTATTGAACTCACACATCTTTGGGTCTAGTTACCGAATCTAACCAACATCATTATCCACTGGGCCGTGTGTCCTTGAGGGATCGGTTCCTATTTCTAATCACTTGACAAAACCGGAGCGTTTAACGCTCGCAAAATTGTGAATATGGCAATGAAGATGAGGATAACAGTCCGAATATTGTACCTCATTTTAGAGACATATAGTCTATTCATCTAATGTACAGTGCTGTTCGATAAAAGTGACTACCTGATTTTTTACTAAAAATATTTTTGTCGATAGTTTTGGGGGTTAAAATAATTTTAATCTTACTAATATAAAGACCCCTTCCCGACCATCTAGGAAAAAAGTTTACTCACCCTAAGGTATTCTATTGATAATTATAAATTTGGATATAAATGAGATTTAGGAAAAATCTCTGTGCAAAAAAAGTGACTCAGATATCGCATTCTAATGATTAAACTGGTAAATTTAAGGAGCTTTTGACAAAATATTGAAAACTATTTTATAATACACTCAGAACAATATTCTAGAGAATTCTGGAACAGCTTAAATTAAATCTAGAGTATTTCAGAATATTCCAGAAACCTTCATACAGTATAAAAACAGCTTGAAATAGCCACTCAAGTCACTAACCAGATGAAAGGGTACAAAGACGCCTCAGAACCACTGAAGGCATCTATTATTGCCCTCTCAAAAGAAAGCAAATCTATGAGAGAAATTGCAGAAATTATTATAACCTCGCAATCAACTGTCTCTCGAGTGCTTAGGGCACACAATGATGCCACTCCTGCTCCAAGGAAAGAAACAAGGGGACGAAAGAAAAAGATTGATGATAGAACTGGCAGGGTAATCAAGATAGAAGTTGCGAAGAATAGAACTATAACTAGCCAAGAAATTGCAGCTAGTCTAAGCGAAGAGCAAGGTGTTAGTATTGCCTCTTCAACAGTCCGTCGGTGGATGTTAGAACAAGGCTACAAATCTTGTACACGAAGGTTTAAGCCGCTAATAAGCAAAGCCAACAAAGTCAAGAGACTTGAATGGGCTCACTATTACAAAAATTTCACCGTAGAAGACTGGAAGAATGTTCTCTTCTCCGATTAAACGAAAGTTGAGCTAAATTCAAAGTATAAGGTGAGTCTTCTTCTTGTCTTGTAACGGCATTTAACGGTGGGTTGAGCCGGCTCCAATTGAATTAACCGCATCGCGCGTCAATGCCATCCACCCACGTCGATCGGCAGCAGAATCGACGGCATGATCGAGCCATTCGCGATTCCCGCGTTGGGCCCCGAAAACGCGAGGACCGGACATGAGTTCCATATCTGCTTTGACCGTTGCGAGCCACGTCTTGAGTTGACCACCTCGGCGCTTCCTCCAACCAGTGGGTGCGTTTGACGCCACCAGTTTACGGACGAACTCATCGCCAGGCCGCCGCAGCACGTGGCCGAACCACCGGAGTCTCCTGTTAAGCAGAGTTTCTTCCAGGCCCAGAATGTTGCATTTGGCGCGGATGGATGAGTTTTATCGAACAGCTTTGTAACTTGCCCAATGACAATGATTCAAACGGAAGCTTGATTTGGAAATGCGCGTCTTACAGCTCGCTTCACGCACAGATTTTCATCAACACTGCCGATAGTTTCTCATATCATTTCATTCTTTGTGGGGTTCCTCGATGTCTGCGGTCACCCGGGACGTTTCTTATGGGCATTTAACGGCAGTTTCTTCCGGTTCGGACCTATCTCTAAGTAATAATAATTCGCGTAGTTTGGTCTTTTTAAAATATCGCCCCCTTGAACTGTCTTTGCATTTTAAGTGCGTTTTCCAAAAATTTCAGAAGCATTTTAAGGATACGTTGTTCAAAGCCAAGCCTGGCCGCCCTTATTTATAGTGGAGTAATTCTAGAAATAAATGAGAATTAAGTGAATTATCATCTGGTAAAGTGTGTATAGACATTTTCTATAAAACCGTGTGAATAAATATGTTTTTATTCATCTGAAATATTCTCCTCAGGGTTTAATAAAATTAATTTTTGTCTATAGCTCTGAGATGAGGTATTATGATTTTATTTATATTGTCTCTAAAACTTCCCCGTTACTCGAATAAGATTCGAAAGCGTCCCCGCGTCATTGTGAATAACGAATTATTTTCCACTCTACAATTTCTTCCTCACATACGTACGCTCCGGACAACTTCAGGATCAGTCTATATCAGTCTATATCTCCGAGATGAGGTATTATTTACATTAATCGGACTCTTATCCTCATCTTCATTGCCATATTCAGAACGTTTCGGCCGTCGTACGCTCCGGTCTTCTTCAGGTGATTTGAATTTCAAATCGAACCCTTTAATTTCGTCTATCGGGGTAGATTGTTCTAGTTCCACGTGCCATGCCACTTCCAGAGAGTTGAGTTGAGAGTTGAGGGAAATAACCGATACATCCGGAAGAGGTTTCGGTTCAAAGTTCCTATTACCTGAAGAAGGCCGGAGCGTACAACAACGGAAACGTGGTGTAATGCCTACAAAAAAGACAGACGAACCACAAATGTACACGAATGACAAATGTAACTTAGTCTACATGGCAACACAGCGCCTTTTACCATAAAATTACTTTCAACTCAATAACTCAAATAGAATGATTTACGGACATGTTTATAAGGACTTTTGTCCTTCTTTTGGGATGAGGAATCTGCCACCCCGTATATATAAGGAGCCTAAATATTCTGGCTCCGTCACTCCAGATTTATTCATAGTCTTCTTCAACGTTCTCCCAACGAATCAGTAAAATATCTTTAAAAGCTAAAATATTATACCGCTACCGACAACCGAAATAACTGAATTCATTTTCATATATATATAAATATATATATATATATATATATATATATATATATATATATATATATATACATATATATATATATATATATATATATAGGGTGGCAGGTTCTTCACACAAAAAAATGAAAGACAAAAGTTCATATAAACATTTCCGCAAATCATTCTAGGATTAATAGAATGACTTGATGGTGCATTATTTGATCTCCCAGGTTCCCATACTTTGCGATGAGGAAACTGTTTTTCATTTGCAGATTTATAACTGAACACTACTTTGTAAAATCAATATCATATTTATCTGAGGCTGTAAACATGCACCATATTTATCTGGAAACTATATTAATGGAATTTAAATTTGATTTTATATTTCTTCCACATTAAACTTACATATCATTATCTATCTATCTATCTATCTATCTATCTATCTATCTATCTATCTATGTCTGATCATATCTATCTCCGTCTGTTCATATCTATCTATCTAGCTATCTATCTATCTAGCTAGCTAGCTATCTATCTATCTCGGTCTATTTATATCTATCCAGATGCAAATAAATCGCAGACGCTGACACGTCTACACCAAAAAAAAAAATACCCTGCCCAGTGGCAAAAGCTGCTTATGACGCCAGGGTTGGCAGTACCACCGTAGCCAGTGAAACTGTGTTACGTCCCCTGGTTGGTGGCTGACTAGGGGGCGGGTATCGCACGTGCTTTCACACATTGTATGTAGAAAATTGAAAAATATCTATCTCTCTGTTTCTATCGCTATCTCCTCATTCTGTCCATATCTATCTATCTATCTTTCGAACTCTTTCTTTAGATATCTATATAACTATCTCTCTCTAATAATATATTTTATATATATATATATATATATATATATCGATAGAGCCTTAATATACAGAGGCGTGTGTTATTTTCATTATTGTACTGATAAACAGTAACCGAAATTTTATGTATCACGCCTCACCCACGCACAGAAATACATATATATTATAAAACAGTATTTCAGGTAAGCTATACTTATGGGCGACAAGTACTCATTATCAAAGAAAGGAAGTGTATAGGCATAAGTAGTATGGAAATAAGTATCAACACTGAATATCGACAGTTTGTTTCATGCTTATACGGAACCACAAGGCCATCATATCCGAATTATTGGGTTTAAGCATATATATATATATATATATATATATATAATCATTCCAAGAAAGGCAGTAACGGTACTAAAACACAAGGGGTTACTGGGGTGTCGAAGAATTAGAAAACAGAAACATTACTAAGGAATAAGAACAAAAGAAGTGTAACCAGGAGGACAGTACATAGCGATTAACATTGGATTTAAATTTTCAAGATTAAATTTAACTGCAAACCATGGAAACGGAAGGGTTTTCACAAGACTTATTATATATATATATATATATATATATATATATATATATGATGTCTGATCAAAAGGTATCGGAAATGGCACAAGAAAATATAACTACCCCAGATCCCAATTGATATTTAATCTTCTTCTGAGCCACAGCCTTTTTCCAGAAACATTTCCATTTTTAAATTACAATTTGAGTCTTGAACCAAACATGCATGTCTGTATATATATATATATATATATATATATATATATATATATATATATATATATATATATATAGGAACTTAATTTCAAAAAATTAAATAAAATTATTAATATACAAACCTGTCTGAAAGTTTTAATTTTCAAATATTTTTTATTGTTCAAGACAGATATATATATATATATATATATATATATATATATATATATATATATATATATATATATATATAGCATAATGAGAAGCCACGTATACTTTCTTAATATATATTTATAAAGTATTTATTTATTTATATATATATTTCAATTGTCCAATTTTCATCAGAAATATGTTTGTTATAAATTAAAATTATGTTTAATATATATAAATATTTGCGACGTCACAAAATGGAACGTCACTGTTCAGATATTCTAACTTAAATCTAACTGTCATAAATATTTTAAAAATAATTTTGCTTAGCAAAAGAAACCCTAATTTATGTGTATTTAATTTAAAATCCAATATGTTTATTTGCAGTTTTAAATGTCTGGAAACAATTTTAGATTTCGTTTTAATAACCATAAACAAACAATACGTCAAACAACCCTTAATAGCTAAACACTACAATCAATCAGGACACACATTAAAAAACTGCAAATGTTTATTAATAGATTCCGATTTTACTGAAAAAAAAAAAAAAGAAACATATTGATTTTAAAAATAAATACACATAAATTAGGGTGAATAGGGACTTAGGTGTTTTAAATCTTTATAAATATTTCAATAGCTAATTTTTTTTTAGATATAGTAAAAAATATTTTTTAAAATATTTATGACAGTTAGATTTTTAGAATATCTGAACAGTGACGTTCCATATCACGTGACGTCCGTGTCTCTCGAAGGACGCTACTTGCCAACAAACAGTAATTTTAATTTATTTGTAACAAACAGTTATTTCTGATGAAAATTGAGGACAATTTGAAATATCAAATATATATATAAATAAATAAATACTTTCATAAAATAAAACATTATAATTTTTAATTTGAAACTTTTTTCTATATATATATATATATATATATATATATATATATATTCAGTTGTATGGATATGTGTTTGTGAACATCGGTTTCACGCTTTTATGATAGGTCAAAACTCATATCCATGAATATGTTAGCTGATATTGAGTTTTCCACTAAGTGCTGCGCATATAAAACATTGTATGTATATATATATATATATATATATATATAGAGAGAGAGAGAGAGACAGACAGACAGACAGAGAGAGAGAAAGAGAGATAGATTGATAGATAGATATGTGTCTGTTTATGCTTTGTGTGTGCGTTTGTACATATGTATATTAGTTGATCACACATTAAGTTTATTTAAATATCTTTTTCTCATCGGGCAATGTGATTAGCTGCTTCATTTTTTGTGGGTTAATAAATTGTTTATAACTACGTATTGGTTTTCTTTGATAGTTTTCCAGTATCACGTCTTCATGCGTCAGTGGGTATCGTGTCGCTGTTTATGAATCAATCACATCATTCATATATATATATATATATATATATATATATATATATATATATATATATATATACCTTGAAATATAGTTTTAATATGTTGTTCCTAAATTCAATAAAATTTTTATTGTTGCTGGGTGTTTTTTGTTTAACGCTTTATATACATATATATATATATATATATATATATATATATATATATATATATATATATATGCATGTATGTATGTATATGTATGTGTGTATGTAGCTATATATATATATATATATATATATATATATATACTATTCAATTTGTCCAAAAATGGAAGAAATATTGGGCTCTGTGCGCCATTTTTGGAAGCGTATTTGCCTAATTCCCATTTATTTGGCCGTCTAGAAAAGCGTGAACGAAGCTGATTGTTTTTCGACAGAATCAATTTGGATAACGATATTGCGCTGAACGTTTTATGATGAAAATCTCTCATGTTTTTGTACTGTTGAAGTGCTTACACAGATCTATCGTGTAAATGAATTTGCTTATGAGAACACATCGACTACTCCATCATGGTCATTGGGGTTGCGTTTCTTTAGTTTCTTCTCTTGTTCTTTACGTATTTATTTAAATTAAATATTTGTTCAAATCGAAGGTCATCCGAAGAGGCCTTTTGAAAAGAAAGACCGTCAATAGCTTAATACTTCGTTCTATGTTTCTTTAGAACAGAGATCCCCAACCGGTGGTCTACGGACCACTGGTTGTCCGTGCAAAATTTTTGATGATCCGCAGAAAAATTGGGACATTATTTCAATTTTTATGAGGCTTCAGATTAAAAAGTGACGAGTAACAAAACGTATTATGGATGGTATATATGTCCAAGACCTTACGTAATCTCGAAATAAACACAAGTACATAAATGTGATATCATCCAGCCATAGTATAAACTAAAATGCCTTGTATCGTCATGTTCAATACTTGTTAATGAATAGTTTCTTACCATTACTGTTGATAACTAGTTACTGGATAGTTTACTCGTATAATTTTCTACAAACATGGCATAGAAACGGAGCTGGATCTTCAAGAATCAGCTTACGCACCAAATACAAATTCTTAAGCATTCGTACTCGAAGAATATTTTTGCAAAATATATTTAAAAAGCAAACGTTTTAGTTGACGTTGAAAATATCAAATCGCCAGACGAACAAATGGAATAAATATCACACTAAAATGTGTTAGACTTGAATAAATTTCAAATTTTCAATTTGTTTTATTTAAATAATTACACTATAAATTTGTTACATTAAATGGGTGCATTTAATTTTAATAAAATAAAAGTTTCCGATTATTATTATTATATAAATGTATTTACCTTTTTTTTTCTAAATTCTTATTAGTGATCCACTAAATTTAAGATTATAAATTTAGTGGTCCATGAAGTTCAAAAAGGTTGCCGACCGTTGCTTTCAAGCATTATAATCGACAAATGATGGCCTCCCACTTCTGAGCTTTTTTTCAAAGGCTAGTCACTACACGCAAAAAGATTAAACTAGATTAAGATAGTAATTTTAGGCAGTGTTTCATTTTCTTCGATTTACCAAATTATTATTGATTGTATATATGTTTAAGACCTTATGCAATTTCGAAATAAACACGAGTACTCAAGTACACAAATGTGACCTCACCCAGCCATAGTATAAACTAAAATGATTTGTAAAGACATGTTCAATACTTGTTACTGAATAGTTTATTATCATTACTGTTGATAACTAGTTACTAGATGGTTTACTAGTATAATTTTCTGCAAACATGGCATACCAATGGAGTAATAGCTGGATCTTCAAGAATTGCCTTACTTACCAGATACAAATTCATAAGCATTTGTACTCGAAAACTATTTTTGAAAAATATTTTTAAAAAACAGCTTTTTAGTAAACTCGAAAAAAGTTCAAATTTTCAATTTGTTTAATTTAGATAATAAAACTGTAACGTTGTTACCTTAAATGAATAAATTTCATATTGATCTAATAAAAGTTTTCCGATAATTATTATATAAATGTATTTAGCTTTCTTTTTTTTTTTTCTAAATTCATATTTGTGGTCCGCCAAAATTCTCTTTTTAGTCGTCCATGAAGTTCAAAAGGTTGCCGACCACTTGTTTAGAACACAAGAATTCAAAAATTGAACCCAACAATATGAGGCTAGAATATGTAAGAATCGGAAGGATATAAAGCCGTAATGATATTCGACCGATTTTCAGTAGTATGAAATCTTTTCGTAACCTTTCTTACGGGAGTTAGTTTGTAGCGATTGCTGTTTTTTCACGCCCACATTTTATTCGCCTTCGATTGACTAATAAATCACTACTACTTTTATATAGGACAATTTAGCCATCGCAGTCGTTTCTTTGAATCCTTCGGTTTTGAGTTTTCTTTCTTGTTCTGTTAGTACGAATGTAGTGATTGGTTAATTTTTAACTAATCACATATTCTAGTGCAAGATTAAGTTTTTCCGCGTTGCTGTGGGAGCCTACCCCTTTTTCTAAAAAAGAAGCAACTTTTTCACAAGTCGTCAGTAAGATCCAGCAAAATTCACCTGTCCATACAAGTCCACGATCTTGCTCATAACATTTCAAACGCACACAGAATTTTGTAATATAAACTTACATTTCTCTCTGTGACTTAGCTAAGCTCAGTCAACCAGGACTCTGTTGATTTCGAGCTATTCTATAACAAATTTTTGATTAATTGTATTCTTGTGTTATCTATTCTAACAAACAGACTTTGTTCTAATATTGATTACTGAACATTTTTCTCTCAAAATGAACTTTTTTCGAATAATCAATTACAAATCAAAATACAATTAAAGGGGAATAACTTCTTTCCTTTAATCTCTACATTGAATGCAATTTTATTGCATGTTTGTTCTTGTATGTTATTTCAATATATACTTGTTGATTCACAGTTTGGAGTTTTTGTTGTTCACTTGAATCCCGGACGTTGAAAGTATAATAATATAAATAGTATTGGTCTATCTACAAACGGACATATTTACAATTGGTAACCCCAATGTTCCAAAAATAAATCTTTCAACCAATAGGCCCTTACAAGTTCCTCGCAGGAAAAGGATTTTGAGCGAAAACGGCTTTGACAACATTCCAGGTAGATTAGAATGAACGATCGTCGCCTTTATAGTTAGATTTGCTTACGGAAAGGTCATATGTAAAGATGGAATGGTAAATTTGGGAAATATACTTTGGTCATGGTTGAAAATGTGATTATCGAGGAAACTTTAAGGTAAGGGACACGTTTAACTAAAATCTGAAAGAGACAGCTGACTTATCTAAGGCATTTAATGAGAAAAACAGGCTTGGAGAATTTGATGCACACAGTAAATACAGAAAGCGTGTGAGACAGAAAGTGACAGTGAGTAACCTACCAAGTAAGCTTGTGTAAATGGATGGCAAAAGGGGCTAAGATGGATAAAAGATAAGATTGATCAGTTTTTTACAGATTATCAACCCTTTGCAATTTATTTAAAACCAGAAAATATTTTTAGTTTATAAGAAATTTTTAGATATTTACTGATACAGATCTCACAAATAGCTGATAGGAGAAGAGGTGGGTTCATGCCTCCCCAAGCGTATTTGCGCGTAAGTGAATATAATGAGCCCAACTGCAATTGGAACGCGGCTCTCTGATTTCCAATTCAGAGACATTATCCATTACACCACCTGCACATCCAAACTTACTGCACAGAGCATTCCCAAGCGGTAACCTATCTAAATACTGATCGATGAAAATGACAAATACTGCCCGGAGCTAACAAAGGATAGGAAGTTGATCACTCACGTCCTGAAAGAATACGACATACCAAAGAAGAAGCAGTAAATACCTGTTGTGGGCAGTGATGTAAATTATTACGTGATGAGGTTTAGGTCTAAAGTGTTAGAGCTGTTGTGACTAAAAAGTGGAACTTATCCGAACATAGAGCTGAGAGCCTGTGTCTGTAACAAAGAGTCTGGAGAGTAGAAAAAACTCCACCACCAGAAGACCGCGCAAATGTATTTGAACTCTATCAAGGGTAGAAAGTGCTGAGTGGATATCTCCAGCCAGGCATGGCAGGAATAATAAATTTTGTGATAGAATGAACAAGGCCAATCGTATGAGGTCTGGAGTTCCAATAAACGGTCAAAACCTACAGCCCCGTTGAAAGTGAGACGATTCATTTTGACGGGAATTTATCCATTTCAATGTTTCAGTCAGACGAAAGGCACGAGACAGGGGTCAAGGGGAGGGTGGAAGGTATTTGTCTTAGAAGGAAGAAGTTTTATATAATTAAACCCGAGTAATAAACTTATGATATTAATTTTGGATTATATGAAGAATGAAATATTAATTTAAAATCAAAAGAGGAATGAAGAAGGGTTTTTAAAAATAACTTTAAAATATATAAATAAAAGGATGTAAGGAATTAATGAAAAGAGACTTGGAAAATCTAGGAGAGTTTATAAATTATAATTAATACAGTTAAAGAGGTAATAGAGGTGGGGAATATGGAAATTAGAATTATTTATACATTTGCCATTTGAAGAGTTAGAGGGGAAGGAATATTATGGAAATGTAGTAGCTAATTAAATTAAACTTGTATTATGGAAATTTGAATTTGTTTTTATGCCGACATTTTAATACTAATTCATTCCTCTGATTCAGTAGTTGGCTTTGATTATTGTAAATTATTATTCTTATTTTTCTACTAAACGTAAGTCACACTTACCTCTAAGGCTATTAGGAGTACTTGCGGAACTTATAATCTTCCAAACTATCTGTAGGCTCAAACCTTTCTCCTTCAATTGCCAAAATTTCCTTGAAAGAACTGTCTGTTTTTTTTGTTTTGTTTTTTTTTAAGATTAACATTTTTAGCTTTGACAGTTAAATTTCTATTTCTGGCCTGAACTCAGTCCAGGGTTGATATGACTCTGTAATAATAGATATATTCAGTTTTAATATTTTACATTACTTGGATCCACTTGGATTATATACTAACGGATTTGTAACCTTTACTATATATATATATATATATATATATATATATATATATATATATTTTTTTTTTAAAGATGGGCCTCTTATTATTCTCAGTTTTTATGCTTTCTGCTTGGAGCAGCGTTAATAATGCTGGTTGAGTTGTGTTGATTTGTTATTTTGCAATTCTAAGATTTGTTTGTGTAATATTACAAGTTCTGCTTTTTTTTTATATTATCATCAAAAGTGGAGTAAAGATGACAGGTTGTTCCGAAGTTGCGTAATTCCGTTTGCTGCGCAGTGAACTGGTAATCCGAATAATTAATAAAGTTCTCAGTAAAATTACGGAGATATATGTTGTCTTCATATTAATTATGTGGTAGATAACACTAAAATTGTATAAATGTCACAGGGCAAATAAAAACTCAACATTCTGAAGGAAACTGTAATAAAAGATACAGAAACGACATTGAATGACGTAACTTCCGCCATAGGAAACCGTATATTGAAGTGTGTTTAAAAGTAGAGACTTCAGGGGTTATTGGCCCTCGTTCGATGGCGTTCCTTCGGAGGATTGGCGCGATTTCATCTCGAT